ATTTTATTTTAACCTGAACATCCAAACACCTGTGGGACACGTTATCGCTGTGTGCGTCATCGTATGCCTGCATGTCTGCTCGCCAGGATTGGGAGGTACGGCCGTACAACTCTGTGTGCAGCGACCGTACAAACAGTAACCAATCATCAACCTCTGTTTGTTTAACCTAATCCCCCATTCTGATAATGAGTAGCTCCCTGCGTGTACACTTGATCCGCAATATACGTCCTGAATAAACGTGCTCCGTGCTACACGTCTGTTTCCTTTATAGCTGGACTATAGCTTAGCTGGTTCTGGGAGTCTAGCTAGATGTAGGAGGATCTGCCATTGAGATTTCTGAGTCAGCCAGGCTTTATAAAAAAGTTGCAAACCGCTTCACACCTAATCACCTGTTGGTACTTAAGAAACTCTAAATTGGATCGAAAGCTCATTTTTTAACAAAAGGCTTAAAATCCCTGTGCTGTCATCAACCTACAGATGTTTTAAAAAATTTTCGAATGTTATCTTATTAAGAGCGTCAATCTATCTTATTAATTTATCCTAATTACATAAACGCTAAATCAATGGTGATAATCACTTGAGTTTACATATAGGGCTTAGCTAAATTTGTATCTTCATTAACAAATACGTAGACACTCGAGCTATCTTGTCGGTTCGAAACTTCAAGATTTTTCCTTCAATATTAGTCTTTTACGAGTGGCGGATTGTCACACTAATAAGCCATGACAATACTCATAAATCTCTGTGGGCGATTTTCCTATATTTGGAAAGACTCTCAAAACTATCTAAGCTACTGCTATGATAAAGGGGAAACAGACGAATCATACAGTGGTGCGCGGTATCTGCGTTCAAGGCATTAACAACATGGCGGATTTGATAAAAAACGAGAGATTCGATTGATTGTTGGCTGTGTGCTCTCCGCACTCACGACCGCACACGAAGTTGCACCGTGCGCCTTCAAGCCTCCCAGGGTGCGTAGGAGATTACTCGTTAAGCAATGATATTCTGTCCCATAGACAAATATTATGAGCAGCCATCTTCTGAACTTTTGGTTTATTGATAAATTGAACCCATAGAATTAAAAGTCGACGATTTATTTGTTCACTTGCCTAATGAGGCAGCTAATTTACCTGGAGTAGGGAGTATGACGTGACTGAAAACACTTTTTTCATTTTATTATTTGTATATTCAAGAAGATTTTGAAGTAGATATATAAAAGTGGAATCGAATAATTTTTACACTTTTTTGTAAACTTCGAAAGTTTTGATTATAAGAAGAAATTGGATTAAGATGTATGTTTTTCCAATTTCATCACAACCACACAAAGGTATTCTTAAAAAATCTGGAATAATCAATTGTTTTAGAATTTGGTTACCTTGGAACTAGAGTCCTAGTAAATACAAAATGATATTATATATAATATATATATATATATATATATTATATATCTATATGATATTATATTAAATAACTCCAATCAAACTAATATTACTACTAGTAGTTAATTCCCTCTTAATAGCTGTTCACCTTGCCAACTTTGCACACGCGTAGATTACAAGTCCTTTAATATTCCCTCTCTCCCTTCGTTGCTTGGTCTCCTCGAAAATGTAGCACTTGTATCATGGGAACGACGCAAATAATTGTCCACAGAATGTACGTAGGGATATATTATTGGTTATTACGAAAACCAATCACGTTTTACCCTATTAGTGAGTTAGATTGGCATTTGATCTGTATTTACGCTTTATGTACAGGTTAGATCGCTAAATGGCAGAATTGGAAAATGAAGGAGAGACAACTGAAGCTAATAAGGGCTCCAATAACTATCCTCTTGTTAACGTAATTTATTATTTTTCTTGTTATTAACTTAAATTCTAATTAATTCAGTAGCCCCTCCAGTATTTGTTCTAATGACTTTATTTTTTTTAAACAACAAATATGCCAAATGATGAAAGTCCACTTTTCCTTAACTTTTGACTCAATACTTGTTCCATACTTCGCATGATTGAATCGATAAAGCAGTGCTTAGAAAATGATAACCTACTTTCCGTGGATATAATCTACACGATAACTTCAAACAGATGGGAGGATTATCTTTCAACTCATAAAATTTTAAACATTTAGTTACTTTTAATAAACCGACGCCATATTATAGTACTCTGAATTATATTTCGATACAATGGTTTGATTTTAATAATCTGGTATTTTCTAAAAGTTTTCTAATTTTGGAACTGGACATAATTTGCATGATTTAATGCAAGACTGACACTACCCGTTATCAAAATGCTGAGTTATGGGATAGGAAGTAAATGTGCGTACTTCAAATTGCCTTCACAGACGGATGACTCAGCATGTCTTGAGGACATGATTAAAAGAAAAGAGAGGAATAAAGGCTAGTTATTTGAAAATTAATTTGAAAACACAATTTACTGTAATTATTCTCGTGAGAGATTTTTCATATAATTTTCTTCTTGCCATATTTCTTTCAGCCACACTCCTTGATGTTATCAGTTTGTTGGGAGTGAAGAGGTGGATAAAACTTTGAGCACTTAATCTAAATTCTTAATAGCTCTGCTCTTGCGTTATAGTAAAAGTGGATTTTAACCATTTATTCTTATAAGTTAATTAAATTTGCACTTTTGATGTACATATTCAATTTACGATCAGAGCTCGAGGAGGCTAACATATATAAAGAACAATGTCGAGACAAACTCGATTTAATGAAACAGTATTTCCTTTCCGCCATAAATAATCATAATTCGCGTTCACAACTGATTCTTAATTCTCTCTGTAAAGCAACGAAATTTTGTTGCAGAAGTTTGCTCGCTAAACTTCTTTTGGTTTTTGAAAGAGTAGAGAGGGGGTGCCACATTGTCATAACTCCAGTAATTTCCGCAATCTAACTACGGACATCAAATCATGTTCCTCGATAAACCATTTGAAGATTATACGAAGCAGGTGGGACACTTTTTGCATAATCTATTAATTATTATTATGAATGCATTTTCCTCATCAAACATGGAGATTATTAGCATTATGCTACTTGCATTTGATTCCACTAATAATATCGCAAACAAGTCGAACTCAAAATTAAATGAACTTTTCCTTTTGAAGTATTCAGATATGAATGAAGAACTAACATCAGAAATCAGCGAAATGTGCGTCACAGCATGTGAAAAGTTTCCTGAAGACAATGGTGTAAGTTTCAGTTTAAAATGGGTACTCACGCCAACTAAAATGTGGCCTTATGGCTAAGATTTCCCATGCAGATTAATGTTATTATTTATTAAAGAACTTTATACTGAGTTTTATATAAGATGGTTGAGAAGTTATTGTTATTATTAATTGTAGGCAGCGGCAAAAATGGTGAAGAAGCAATTCGAGCAGAAAGCGGGCTTGGGGTGGCAAGTTGTGATTGGTCAAGGGTTCGGGTTTGAAATCACGCATGATCTCAACTCAGTGATCCTGCTCTACGTTGGTGGCAACACCGGAGTGTTGATCTGGAAATGCGGTTGACGCTTAGGTGACAGAAATAATTAGTGTTAAAAATTAAGAATTGTTACTATAAATAAAGACTAAAATTAATCAAATGGTAATAAGATTTCGATTATAAATACAATATATAGCTAAGTAATTATATTTGCCAATACCCAAAATAAGATTTTTGCAATCGAATATTCAATTTCCAAGATCGGAGAAGAATCAGTTGATTATTTTAATCAAGACAGAATTTAATACTTCTCGAGTTTGACTATTGTCTAAAACTCAAGCCTAGAATCATTGGAATAGAATCAACTAGATTTTGCTAAGTGAATTTCAACGCATTTCCCCGAATATGCTTTTCGATTCCTCAATGAGGCCCAATGCTAGTCACCTTGAATACAATGATTGCATTTAAAACTGGATTGCGACATGAAATTATACCCATTTTCTACCTATTTTCGAAATGGCGAGGAAGTTGTAACAGAGATTCCGTTTTTGAAAATAGAAAAGCTCTAAGTTGTCCAAGTTTCAATTTGAACTTTCAGGCAACCCAATTTCGAACAGACATTTTGTCGAAAAAAATGGATTGGGGTGGGGGCGGGGGGTTTAAGTTAGATATCGTTTTCAGGACCGCAAGTATGATATCATTTACCTTTTCATTAATACTAGCCACACAAACTCCGTTTTAATTCGATTAATGCTCACAAGTGCAGCTGAATGGCCAAAAGGTTATGCAGTGTTTTCACATAATTCATCGTGAATGTAAAGAGTTTAGGGTGAATTAACAGATTTGATTCTTTGGAACAACACAGCGGTCATACAGGCTTTAGTTAATGTTGCTTCATAGGAATAAAAAACCAAAGCAATTTTTGACACAGTAATTTTAATAACCCAAACGATATTGTAAAATATAATCTTTTAATCATTAACACTGTAAGCCCTGCATCTTCCAAATTGACTGCGTCGTCTGGGTGCAGATTTCATGATAGCCATGTTTGTCGGTACATATCGAACACTGTGCGAATAGCTAACCTCTTTGTTTAATTCCGACCAACAAAAGAGAAATGGAAGTTGTTGAGTTTTTAATAAGAGATCACAAGATACCTTCTATATACCCAAATTTAGTGTCATTAATTTCGTTCCTTAATGGAGATTGAGAAGTTTGCTTCCTCATTTCACTTTCGAAAACGCTTCACTGGATTGATCAATGAATTTCTCTGTGTAATAATAACAGCTGAAACATTATTTATATCAAATGGCAGGCGTTTTTATGGTTATCATTAGCCCTTTAGTTGACTTCAGGCTTTGGAGAGGGGAAGGAACATCAAATTGAAAAAAGTCAAGAGAGATTTACAGATGTAAAAGAGACGGACAGACAAAGGTAGAAAAAAGGTGAGGTGAGTACTGTAAAAGTAGTCGAATATGGCATAACAGCTGAAACATTGAGGTTCAAGTATAAAAACATCAATATTAACTAGTGTTATCAGTGACGTACGTATTTCTATAGAACTAAAACTGTTCCGCAATCACAAATAAACGTAATTGTGTACAGTAAG